TGATTTAAACCATAACAAAAAAAAGAAAAATCCTGAACCTACAAATTTAGGTTTTGGGGGAAAAAAAAAATCATTTTTTTTTTTTTTTTTTTTTTTTTTTTTTTTTTTTGCTTATTTTAATATCAAAGATTCTTGTAATACAGCAGTCTGAATTTTGTACATATTGAGGGCTGAACTGGTGAGCCCTAAGCAGGTAAAGTTCACTCCTGAGCAGAAAATTATCACAGTATTTATGTCTACAAACCATGCTGAAGTACAGGTGGGGGAACTGAATCTTACTTCCAGCCGTCTGCCAGTATGGAGGTTTTTTTCCCCCGGTGTACAGAACCCTGGCCAACAGAAATGTGAATTCTGTGTATGAAGGCTTTGCTGGTTCAGTCCCATAAATAACTCAGGATCTGGTGAAATCATCAACTACTTGGTAACGAAATAAATGTTATGACTAGGAATGGCTTTGAAGTGCTATGAAATGCATAGTTTCTTGTGAATGAAGGTTATTTTTTAAGTGGTGCGTCTTCTGTAGTGCATTTAGCTGTATGCATTTTCTTCTGCTTGAAGAATGCCCAAATACCTCGTACCAAAATACTGGCACCTTTCTACAGTGTTTGAGTTGTCTGTGAAAGAGCATGCGAAGGGTTTCGCTTGTACTTGTGATTGAAGGTACTGGTTGTCTTGCACATTAAACCTGTATATGTAAATTTTGATGCTAATTATTACGACTATTACAACGAGATTCATCGAAAGGATGAAAATAAATTATTGGAGGCTGCAGTGTACACTAATGGACTATAGGTTGTTTTCTGCCCAATGCATTGGAGTTGTGTATTTGTGGTACTGGCAAATGGATGAAGGGTGTTTTCAACATTATTTGTAAGTCATTAGAGAGTCAAGCTGTCTCTTACTGGGAATTGTAGTCCTTGTCCTGCTGGGCAGCAGCTGACTGCATTAGAAGCCAAAGGAACCCAGTGCCTTGATGGATTGGGCATTAAGTGTCCCAATAGCTCATGGAAGCTGGGGCCATTCAGTTCTGGATTGAGTTCACTCCCACTTGCAAGCAAGATGATGGATCCGGATTGAGCACTAAAAAAGCCATTTAACTACCTACCTTATAGCATTTAATTACCCTATAGCATCTAAGTACCCTATAGCATCATCCTCTCCCTTCTGACTAGCGAGTCCCAGCTGTGCTGGGGCTGGGAGGCAATGGGGGTGCATTTGGCCAGCAGCACACTTCCCAGCAGGGTGGGGAGAAATAAAGCAGCAGGGAGCAGGAGGGAGGGCAGGCTGAGCTGCCCTGCCAGCCCGCGGCAGATTTTAGCCTTCTGCAAGGAAAATGCAGCGATTCTTAGCGCAAACATATTGCTGTCCTTGCTGGACAAGGTTTAGGAAAGTTTCCGTTGTGTAGTGTACGTGTGCCCTGTTTGCATCCAATGATCTGATGTTTCCCTCCCCGGGGATTTGCACATTTACTTGCATCGTCTGTGGCCATGCTGCCAGCAGGCCAGTGACTGAGCAGCTCTGGCCAGCTCAGCGGGCTTTCAGGTATTTATACACACAGATAAGAAGGGAGGAGAGGGAGGGAGCGCCTGTGCACACTGTGTTTTTCCACCTGACAGGTTCCCGGGATGACTGCACAGTGCAGAAAGCCACTTGCATGAAGGAGGCTGCACTATTAAGTTCAATAGAAGGGAGAATATTTGTGACCAAGCCAACTGACCAAGCTCTATCCTTTGTGAACCCCCAGCTGCCAAGTCCCTCCTGAGCAGACACCATGGTACCCAATGCTCCTGCTGGACATTTCTGAGCTGAGGCTGCGGAAAGCAGGACGTCCCCGCACCAGACTGTGGCTTTGCATGCTGTGCTAGATCCGCCTCTCCCATTCCCTTCTTGCCATCATCAAATACAGGATGGCAGCGACGTTTTCCATGACAGTGACTATAGTAATACACTATGTGCAATAGGTACCCACATTTCTCACTCAGTTTGGCTTAAGCAGTGGCTGTAGCCTGGCTTCCCTGGCTGGGGGCTTATTCTCACTGCATTCCCCAAGGCAAAGGATTACAGAAACTGTACCTGACATGTGCAGCCTGGCTCTTCTTTCTCCTAACTAGGATTAAAAATGCTCCTGCCAAGGGGAGCAGCCAGTCAAGTCGTTGGGATGAATCAGCCCACTAGCTGATTTTAAGTGCTTTGCATTAAGAGAGTCAGGGGTTTTTAAATGTTAAATGGAAAGTGATCTAAATAGAAACCAGAGGATGAGGGCAATCTTGGCTGTTTTGGCGGGTTGGTGGGGAGAGAGATGAGTGTGCGTGAGGCTAACTCCTGAAAAGCCCCTCCTTGGTGAATGACAATGGTGAGAGAAAAACAAAAAGGTGGTCCCAGGGCTCAGGCTCTGAGTGAGTGCAGGGAACAAAAGGC